TGACTAACATAAATAATAAATAATGGTATATATAAATATATATATATATATACTATCTGATTAATAACTGTAGTGATATTGATTACAACTTCGTCTATTAATTGTGAACGATGAGAGTAATCCTACTTTAATCTCGTTTCATTCTACAACAATTTTCTTTTTTCGAAGAAGGAATCTACAATTTGATTATATTTCTATTATATCGATCTTTTAATATTATATTAATTTGACATTAAGAGATAATTTAAAGTGATAAAGAATCTTCTATTAAGATGTGATAACTAGACTGTGAATCTTGTGCATTTAAGACAACAATGAGCAGACTAAATGGAAAACGGTAAAATCACATTTGATGAAATGATAATTATAAAGTTCTGAAATAAATGAGCCGTTTAAAGCAAAAGTGATATAAGTCAATTTCTTGCTACATTTAATATTATCAAATCGTATTTAATTTAATAGTTTGATATTTTTTATTATTTTATGGTAAAGCTTGAGTTTAGTTTGACTTTAGTTTAGTTAGTTTAGCTTGGTTTACACCAAGAGTTATAACAATCTTTTATGTTATGGCATTTCACAGAACTTTTAATTCATCTTTCGTTATCCACAAATTTACTTTTCTGACTTAAACCATTTATGCTTTCAATGTATCAAATGTGTCTACGTAGCTAATTTGTATTTTGCATGGAAGTTCGCAGTCTACCGACGACTTATTATGCGATTAAATATTTTTATTATTTCCTATAATTGACGAGCGTACTTTTCAGAATGCAAGGTTTGTTTTTTCCTAAATGATCTTAGTTGCATCGTTACACGGTCATTAACGGCAGGAAGCGAGATGTGTTCGTAACATGGTAGCCTTCCACGAGAAAGCTACTTCTTGGGTCCACGGAGTAGCTCTCTCGTGACACCAAACGCGATGGCAATTAAGATACCGCCCGAGCGAGACCTACGATGCCAGAAAGAAAACAGCAAACTTGAGCGATCTGTTCGAGTTCGATGGTTATAACAAAAGTAACTAGACCGATGTACAATGCTTTAAACCACCTTTCTATAACGCGGACAAAACTGTTGCCACTTCCCTAGCTGTTAAAAACAGCTTAACCTTGTCAAATTATCCAAATCATCGTTGTCGTTTCGCACAATTAAGTGGTTCAGTGGAAAACAGCCACATACCATAATTTTATAATTTTAGAGAAAATCGCATTAAAGCAAGTTGTGACTTTTATAGAAAATGCGGTACATAACGATATTTATTTTAAACGATATAGGTATAAAATAGATAGTAAATAACGCTTGCTATTCAGTTTCAGCTGCAAAATTCTTTTCATTATTACATTTTTCTTTGAATGTAGAATGTTGCTAACATCACCGAATATTTATGTAATACCATGAAGAAGTGAATGATTTGAGAGCATGTTATTAATATATTATTTGTGTTATATGTATAGCTATATTATATTATATTTATTTATATTTTATATATAAAAAAATTAATAAAACAAAAAAAACAGAATTTATACACATGTGGCATGTGCCAGTTTTCACATTTTGTTCAATTACCTCTTCAAATATTCTTTATAGTTTTAGCACTTTGTTTTACGAAATATTTATTCCAGAAAAAGAACTACACTATATTTACGTAAAAATATATTGAACAAACAGATATCATTATCGGAAACTGGCGTAAAAAAGGATTAACTTCTTCCTGGAATGCGATCCGGGTATAAAATCAATTTTTACGAGCGATTATTTTCAATATATTACCAAAGAAAGAATTGAAGAAATGGTGTTTATGTCGTCATGTATATGTCATATATGATAACTAGACTGTGGATTTTTATGCGAAATGAAAATTGTCTATATTAATTGTAAGCCACGTGGGCTCATGTTTTGTATTCAATGTGCAATGTGCGAAGTTGAAATATAGATTTTGCTAATTTTTGATGACTCAAAAATCTGATTTTCCAGCATTGAAATTACGTTGACAGTCCAATAGTCACCATCAATTTTGATATAATTTCACTAACGATGGGAATGTTTTTGGAGGAGACAATTCACGAAAGTTACAAAATAATTTGATCAAACATCATTAGAAGGTTTAATAAATTAATCGTATATCCAAGTTCCATTTCCAGTGGGATTGCCAGAAACTGCACAGTTGTTAATTACTTTAAAGTCGCATAAACTGCTAAAATGATTCTCTACGAAAATAGCATACGAAACTTCGATATACCAGTCTATAGAAATTAAGTAATATTAAGAGGTTTAATAATGTTAGTAACAGACTGTAATAAAATTTAATCTCCGTCCGGCCCCTGGTTTCCTAACTTAATTTATCTGAATCTTAATTTTCTAACTAATTTAGCAGAATAATGGAATTTTCAAACTCCTGCACTGAAGATAGAAGAATGGTGATATTGTTAAATAAAGTGATCTTTAAAACACAAGAAATGATATGTCGAAATGAAAGAAAGAACTGACCAAGCTTAATAAGGTTACGTAGGTTTCGCGGAACTTTTGACGATTGTAGCTATCAACATACAACTAGAAATGTTTCATTGAAAATAAAAGACTATAAAAATATTGTCCATGATTAGTTGTCTGTATCTAAAATATCTACAGATATTATTAGATAGTATCGTTTTCTATATTTTTACAATTTTGCATTATTGTAGAATAGTCAACAGAGCGTTGCTGGGAATATCCCAGACCTCGATCACAAAGTGTTCAGAATTAAGAAAATGATTATAAAATGTAAGACACATTAGAAAAATAATTGTAAAAACAAAGACACGCTAGAGAAATAATTATGGAGATATAAAGACACATTACAAAAGTGATTGTGAAAACAGAGACACATTGGGAAAAATAATGATGAGAACTAAGATAATACATTGGACGAAAAGAAAGCATTGAGATTCACGATATCGTGAGTTCCTCGTATAAAATACAAAGTCGTGGTCGTTGCTAACATGCGACGCTGTTATTGAACGTGTTAATAACTCCAAAATACAGTCTTTCATGAGATTATGCTCTACATTTTTGTTCGCAGATCTTGGTCTGGCGACCGTGCGTACTGTCCGACACGTATATAGTCCGAGGTGGAAGCTCTGCAATTTGGGAAAAATCGGTAAGTGAATCGTTTAAGTTCTCAGGGAATAGAAATCGCCAGTGTTGCACGATTTCTCGATATGTATATGAACTTCACTGGAGGCCTGTGCATGTACGCAGGGGAATGAAGCCAGCCAGAATAATCTGAGTTATCGATCGACTCAGTTGCCAACTTGGCAACGGCGAACTCCCGGAATTACGAATGAAATGTTCTACATAACGAAATAGTTCGCAAATCGAGCCTTTCATACCATCGCGGGAGAGAGAGTGCACGGAACTCTACCTCCTCCCTTTTCTCTCTCTCTCTCTCTCTCTCTCTCTCNATATCGTGAGTTCCTCGTATAAAATACAAAGTCGTGGTCGTTGCTAACATGCGACGCTGTTATTGAACGTGTTAATAACTCCAAAATACAGTCTTTCATGAGATTATGCTCTACATTTTTGTTCGCAGATCTTGGTCTGGCGACCGTGCGTACTGTCCGACACGTATATAGTCCGAGGTGGAAGCTCTGCAATTTGGGAAAAATCGGTAAGTGAATCGTTTAAGTTCTCAGGGAATAGAAATCGCCAGTGTTGCACGATTTCTCGATATGTATATGAACTTCACTGGAGGCCTGTGCATGTACGCAGGGGAATGAAGCCAGCCAGAATAATCTGAGTTATCGATCGACTCAGTTGCCAACTTGGCAACGGCGAACTCCCGGAATTACGAATGAAATGTTCTACATAACGAAATAGTTCGCAAATCGAGCCTTTCATACCATCGCGGGAGAGAGAGTGCACGGAACTCTACCTCCCCCCTTTTCTCTCTCTCTCTCTCTCTCTCTCTCTCTCTCTCTCTCTCTCTCTCTCTCTCTCTCTCTCCCTCCCTCTCTCTGACACACACGCGCAAACACACACTGTATCTCTCTTTCTCCCACCGTCTTTCTTCCTATCTCCCACCATCTTTCACCCCCTCTCTCCTCTAGGACATTAACATTCAACCTCTACAGCAATAACCAAAATGTTTAATACTCGTATAGCGATATGCGATTTTAATGGGATCCTCACAGTAGAACAGCTATGGGAGCGATTGGCTCCGTGGGGCACTAATCTGACTCATGCGAAATCGAGAGCATCAAAACCACGCCCACTCAGAGCACTCTATACACGGAGAAAGTGAGAGAGAAAGAGAGAGATACTACAGTGGTGTGAATAATTATAGGCTGATAGTAACTTTAATATATTTCTAATGATATTTAAACAAAAACTTAACAGAATATCATATTTGTATATTTCTATGTTATAAATGTAGTTTTCGTTCGGCTTTCGTTTAAATGTCAGTTAAAATGTAAAAGTTGCTTTGGGCTTATAATTCTGTGGCTGCAAGGATAATTTCAAAAAATTTCAGTTTACGCATTGATCGAGCTATGGAATATAAGATTCACGTCGTTATCAGAAAAGAATCATGAAAACAAATTTGATAGGTTCAACAAATGAAAAAACAACGAAGCATATGAAGCAATTAATGATGAGAACTTGAAAGCTTGCACATTTTCGTTACAAGCTTAAATAAAAAAAGTTGAGAACCGTATCTTTCTTATCTTTTTTTCTTTTGTTATTCGAACTAATTATAATTTTTGCGAATATCTTTTTAATATTCACTGCACGGGGCAAACCACTCAGTTTGAAATCTAAAAGATATTCAAATCATTTGATTAAATTTCAAAGAAGTTGTGTTTCGAACGATGTGTACTCATTTTTGCATATTTGCACATTTTGTCAATGTCATCTATCGACAAATAATGTCATAATATGAAAAAACAACTTCGTACTAAACAAATAAATGTTAATTATCTGCCAGACCGTTCGGTGATATTTTTAAATAACCATGTTTGCGGAAGCTTTTGAACGGTATTGTACAACCAATCACTTGAGCGATCTAATCGAACAAAAAGAAAAGAAACCCTGACTGAATAAGAAAATTGAAATAACCAACTACGTCTCCACTAGTATCAATTTCTTGGTAGCAATGCGTTTACTATAGCTATCGAAGCTCCCGTTCAATCCTATTACTTTTTAGTCGCAGCTCGAATGCTTCTATCAGTTCTTCATGAATATTTTCGTCGCGCTCGGTAGTTAAGAATAAAGTTGCTTACTATTTCATGAGTTCATTGACGAGGTCGGTTCGTTCACCTTTCCGGACGCGTTCGGGTAGCGCATTCGCAAAAATAATTATTGCTAGCGATGTTATAGCCCTCAAGTGGACAGGTTGTCATTTGGTTCACGGGAATAGCTAGCACTGAAAAATTCCAATTCCCAACGAACCGTACGGCGAACGTTAATCGAATTTGACAGCTAACGAATTAACTCGGTAAACTCCGCGATCTTGAAATCGGTTTTCCCGCAGCCTTAAGTGTGTTTCGGAAAATTACTAGGTGCGCAACAATTTCGCCGGAAAAACATCGAACGCTCGTTAACACTCGAAAACGACGGACAATTTTCACAATTATACAAATCTCGATATTTCCGACCATTTTCACAACTATACAGTCGTCGTTATTTTCGACCAATTTCATAGAATCGGCGATATTCGTGACCATCAGTTTTATTCATAGATTTTTCGAAACACATTTCTGAAAATACTTCTTGCTATAATTTCTGTTGTTCCTATTGTGATGATTTCAAGATTAATAACCAAAATTAAAATTAAAAATCAGAAAGAACTACAAATACGTATGTATTTGTGAACATGTATATGTACAGTATTATAGAACTGTGACATTGTAGGAAAATTTCGGCATTTTTCCAGTAACGTCGTAGCAAAACCGCGTTGTTGAAGGTTCTCCCATGATATATGTTTACTCTTACTTTTATCTTACTACATTATTAATCTCCTTACACCAATGATGACGTGATGTCACAGTTCCATTTAATCAAACTATTCCGATACTTTCCATCGATAGTTTCCTGTTATTTTACATTTTGACGATCTTTCGTATTTTTCAATATAGCAAAGTGTTGTGTACGTGACTTTTTCAACTAAAGAAATCTTCTTCAGCTTCTAACATTCGGTACCAGACTTCAAAAATTGTTATTCGAATATCAAGTTTCGAATAATGAAAAAGCTGACGTATTTAAGCGTAGTACTTTACAAATTATCTTGAAATGAATTGATAAATAAAATTATAAACAATCATAAACATATTAAATTACTTAGGCCAGATAGGCCAGTCACCCGAGTGTTAAAAATCAGTTATTGATTGGTCATTGTTCGTACCCGTACTGACGCACAAATATTTTAATTAATACTGTTAGTATTTTAGTTCATACTTTCCTGCAAAGAATATCAAAAGACATCAATTGATACAATAAAAAATATGATTCCATTTTAAAAAACGCTCACCTACAAGAAAGCTAGTATCATTGGAATGTGCCCCACTCGAAACTATTTAATTTCATGTGAAACATTTTTCGCGACACAATCATAACGGCGTAAATCTATTGGGTTGGCAACTAAGTAATTGCCGATTTCAGTTATAGATGTCTCTCACTCCCATTTTTATGATATCCGTAAATGTTATATTATAAAATTATTATTATTATTATTATTATTATTATTATTATTATTATGTTATTTTTTATTATCCGTGAATGTTAGCAACTGGACAAATTGAATGCAGCGGTCAAGGAAAAGCGACCAGAATTGGTCAATCGTAAAGGTGTCATTTTTCACCAGGACAATGCTAGGCCGCACACGTATTTGTCCACTCGGCAAAAATTGATGGATATTGGTTAGGAATTGATGTTACACCCACTATATAGCCCTGATCTCGCGCCATCGGATTACCACTTATTTCGATCCCTGGACAACTCCCTTCGTGGTAAAACTTTTAATAATGATGACGCTATGAAATCTCACTTGACTCAGTTTTTGTCCGAAAAGGATCAGACTTTCTACGAGCGTGGGATTTTCAAGTTGTCAGAGAGATGGCAAAAGGTCATCGAACAAAATGGAAAATACATTATAGATTAAACTTCATTCCAAGGAAAAAAAATTTTTTATTTTATTGAACAAATCGGCAATTACTTGGTTGCCAACCCAATAGATGGCAATGTGTAGTGATGCACCTTGTATATTGAACGAACTGAATGTCACTAGAATTATTTCCTGTAGTAAATGTCTTTTCCAGTAGGAATTTTTGTATTAGGTGTTAATAGAGTATTAACGTGTTGCATTTTGCTCTTAACGAACCATATTTCATTGTCGAAGTACATATTCCTATAAACATTTGTAATGCGGCAATAAGATCTATAACTACGGCAAATAACGCAGACGGCTATGGCTTACGTCTGCCTCGAAGCAAAAGCATAGATATTTTTGGAACGCTGCAATTTCTATGGCCACGGGCGACTATTTTGTCATCTCGCTAACCAACGAAGCGTTCCGGATGGAAATGAGTCTCGCATCGGCTTTGCCCGGATTAATTTAAAGTTGGATACCTAGCAGTACGTATTATCGCAGTAATCGGAAATCACGTGTGAACGTTTATATTAACCGCTCCCATAAACAGCCGGAAGCTCTGTAAACGCGCATGTCTCGGAATATTCATGATCGGCGAGCCAACAATTCACGAGAAAAAGACGACGAAGAGAAACAATTTATGGGCGAAGTCTTTGCCTTCGCTTCGGACTATAACCATGAATCCCCGATTCGCTAATCCCGGGCTGGTTAATGAACGGAATATTCATTGCGATACGAACTATCGGACAGCCATTTTGACAAGTATTAATTATCAGAAATGGATTATAATAAACATGATCGTAGCACGTATTGATCGGGCGGCGCCGCTTTTAGAATAGATATGCCCATGCAACACCCTTGCTTACGTAACTTGACAATTATCACTGTAAACTATCGTACTTTGATGTGACAATTACGGGCACGTTATCGGTATCGGCCGTTTCCGATGCATCGGTAGTGGTGTTCTTATTGCGTTCAACGGTGATAAGACGTATCTCAGCTAGTCTTGAAACCCGATGATACGTGCGAAAATCTAATACA